AGAGAGAGAGAGAGAGAGATTTAAAGCCTTAAGAATTAGAATATCTGATTGAGAGTAGAAATGATTGAAATTATTAATTCAAAACATATTATGTTGTTATAAAACAGTTTGTCTTTTCTCTTACACAATACACAACATTAAGTATTAAACGAGAAAACCAAACATACAAAACATACCAAACATACCCGTAATCTCTAATTCATTACATTAATGGACAAAAAGAAATAAGTTTTGAAGTAATTCTTATTTACAAAAAATCGCTCACATTTTCTCATTAAACCAAGAGTTCACTCAATGTGTGGAAATCCTTATATTTTGTATTGTTTTATTTGTGTGTTTTATTTATATGAATATCTTAAATGAAATTTTAAAATATATACAATATTTGTACAGATTTTTACAGATATACTTTACATATGATATCAAACTACTAAACACAAGCCGTATTACAAGTGGTGTCTTTGAATGATTGGGTCAAATGGTATGATTGCCTCATATTTTCCGTTTCGTATTTCATACAAAATAATTTGGTAAAAGTGTTGCGAAACTGTTGAGACATTAGGCAATAGAGTACAAAATTGACGGCTGAGTTAATGAGTGCCAACATATCCATCAAATCACCGAATTTGTTGTAAACGTTATTAAAGAATATTTTGCCAAATATTCCGCTCAAAAGGGCTAATATTCCCGACGGAAACTCACAGACGAGAAACATAATGAGTATTGCGATCAACATTTTGGTCGTCCGATCGCTGCTCTGTTGGGCTGAGTTTCGCGTCTTTTCACCGCCGGTGCTATTCTTAGGCGATGTGTTGGTTGTGTTGTTCGCCAACGAGTTGTTTGTGTTGTTTTTCATCGGTATAGACGATGAAAGGAGTCTTTGTTTCCTTTTGTTCGCTTCGACTAAAACGCGAACCAATGCTAAACTCAGTATTGTTAACAAAACACAGGGAATCAGTTTCAAGAGTACACTAAACATCCAAAAGTTAAGCTTTTGTAGCAATTCGTCGTTTTGTATGGCTATTGAACTGAAATCCACCTGAAAAACAAACATTTATTGTATTTTAAGTTATTGTATTTTGTTTCTTGTTTTCTACCCTCAAAAGTGGTGTAATAATACTCACATTTAATGTAATTACTAATTACCACTAATTTAATAATTAAGTACAAAATCATAGCTCATAATTAATTTTACTCTAGTTGTATAAAAATTGAAAAAATATAATTTTATTAATTAACTCTAAAATTATGTAGAAATAGATAAAACAAGTTATTACTATTCATTACAACACTTTTAATAATATATTTCAAATGTAGAAAAATAGAAAGTAAGATGTACTGTAGCTGTCATATACTGTATTATATAAATAATTAGTATTCATTTGGGAAAAGTATGTTTATAATTACAAAACGAAGTAAACATTGACATAGCTATCAGATTAACTTGGACAATTTAGTGAAGCATAATGAGACAACAAACATGTTATATCAATAGACATTTATTTATATTTATGAGATGTATAAATATCTTAAGATATGGATTAAAGATTGTTATCTCTACAGAAATACTGTCAAAATTTATAAAATATATATAAATATTGTAATTGGGGTTTATTTATATTTAAAAAAACATTTTGTAAATGATTATTTAAATAAAATTTAGTGAAAGCAATTTGAAATGGCGTTCAATATTAAATAAAAAAATAAGTTATATATTTTCTATAATCATTATACAAAATTATTTGATGTAATAACAATTTAATGCTATTTTTACAAAATTGAATTTTTATTAAAATTAAATTCCTCGCAATAGAAAATATTTTGAATATTTAAAGCAAATGAAAATTTTATTTGTATTTTATTTGAAACACAAATTGAATTGTAGAGAAAATTACTGTAAAAAGCAATCAAATACATGTATTTTTCGGTTTATATCACTAAATATTCAATTCAACGTTCAATTCATCCCTCAATGAAACCGAATAAAAGCATTACATCTTTTATATTGAATATAAATTATCTTTCATTTGAAAGATATTTATTTCTTCTATCAATCAAACAGAAGTAATTTTGAGTCTAAAAATTGAGATTTATATTTACGAATCAGTTTTCATATAAATTGTTTTCAACTGATATGAGACAAAATTCTCAAATGGAGACAAAAATATTATTTTATAAACAAAAGAGTATAGAAAACAACAAAATAAAATGATTGTAAGTAGAATTGATGTAAACTTATATTACTTATATAACGTGTAATTCAAATCATTTCTATTGTCAAAAATAATCCAAATATCAAATAACAAACTCCCAAAACCTATAGATTTGGCGGTATATAACACCAGGAGAGAGAAAATCTGTGCAACAATTGCTATCATGACATGGATTTTCATAATTTAATAAATTTGTGCACTTTTTCACTGGATTTACTACTAAATTATTTACTAAAGATTTATAACAGAAAATGATTTTTATGTGATTTAAACTAAAAAGTTGAAAAGGATTTCTTACCCGAAAGAATGTTTGATTTGGTTTACTTTCAATATCGAATTCACTGATGGTAAACGATAGGAAAAGTGGTAGACATGAGCATGGTACTAATATATAAGCAAATACTATCGCATATTTGGCTCTTTTCATTGAACACCACGTCTTACTATTTTGTGGAGATCTGCGATACAAAGTATATATCAAATAGTTTAGACTTATTTTGAATTGTTTAACAAAAAGCACTGTATAGTGGATCGCATAATATTAGTGTTAATTATAGTGATATTGATTGGAAGAGATAGTGATGTGAACAGACCTTATGGCCAGATATCTCCAAAAGGCGAGGATGACTGTCAACCAGATAGAGATGGTGTGACAGATGACAGTGAAGTGTGCGTGAAAGAGGGTGAAGAGGGCCCACCCGTAAGCGTTCACCACTTCTTCGTCGGTTTCAGTTCTGATGAAGTTATGGATTGCGAACGGAATGTAAGACGCGATGACACACATGTCCGACACCGCCATTCCTGTCAGTATTGAATTGGTCGCTGAGATCATGTTCTTCCTGTCCATCATTCACATTATTTATTGAAATTATTTTATAGACAAATGTTATAGTAATTTGATTTTACGAAAAATTAAAAATGATCATTAATTGCAATTAGCACTGAATTGTAAATCATAAATAATAATACACCAATTTTTAGTAATTTATTTATTTGCATACAAATCCATCATTTAATATTACGTAATAATTGATAATTTAAATAATAAATAAATGTTTTTGAAATTAATTAAAAGACTAAATAATATAATAATTTATTATTAATAATAATAAAGTAATAAAAACCTGGTTAACACAATTATGTTGAGAACGTTGGCTATAATACCAAACACACAAACGGCTAAACTTAGGTATCCATGGATTGGTCGGTAAAAGTCGGCAAAACGGGTCAATTCTTCGCCATAAAATTGAATATTGTCTTCATCTCCAATGGGAAGCGTATGGTTGGAAGCGTTGGCCATGTCTTCAAATTCTTGAGATAATGACACTTTATATACAATCATAGAATCGGATGACATTTTCCATCTTCTCATATAAAAGGAAAATTGTTTTTAATTAAAAATTTATACATAATATCTGATGAAAAAAAGATTATAAAATATTTATAAATAAGAATTTTATTATTATTTCAAAACAGTCATAAAAATAAAATTCTTACAACTCTGCCTACTGTATGTTCATAATATACAATATAAATAAATGTGTCTACAGCATACTGTATGCAAAAACTTGTGTTATAAAAAAACTCGTCTTAGTTTCAATTCGATATAAAAGAATTCAACCAAGTATGTTTGCAAAACATTCTGTCAGTGAATCAATAACAAAATATGGAAAAATTATTTTTTAAACATTTTTGAACAGGATCATATTTCATCATCAAACTACGGATGTGATTATCTCGAAAACTATATGTGATAATTAAAAAATTCCTTCACTGCCTGATCAAGTGTTTGAATAACAATTCAAAATACAATTAAATACTACTATGACCATAACATCAAACTCAATGCCAATTTGTTTGCAAATTATTTATAAAATGTAATTTAAAAAATTTATACCACACTATCAAGATTTTAGTAATCGTCATCTTTTAATTATAATTTATAAAAATTACAAAATAACTTAAGTTTAGATTTAATTTTAGAAATATTCATTTATATTATTATTATTAATAAATTATTAATAATATTAAATATGATATTACACAATAAAAATAAATTTTATAGATTAAGAGTTGTTGCTTGATGATAATTTTGTTATTATTATGAAAACATTTGATATGCCTATTGATTAATATACGTAAAGTAAGTAATATTCTGCAATCGGATTCTTTCTCTGTTGAAAACATTTGTTGGCAAATATTGTCTAAGAATTGACTAATTAATTGAATCCATTGATCCATAAAAAGTTTTATTTGATTAATAATAGAGTAAATACTGGGCTATAATCGATAGAATTCACGGAATATGGTTTACATGTAAATGAGATCTATTAATATCTAGATAATAATTTAATTAATTATTGACATTTGAAGACATTAGCGATAATTAATCAATCATTTCGTTGTAAATGTAATCCCGGTTTTTATGAACAACTTTTTTCGCAACCAAATTCAGTTTCACATACTTTTATGTTAATTCACTCTATTTTATGAATATTTTATGTTTATTAACAGTATATTTGGGACCGTTTTTATGCAAAATCAATGCTAAGAGCACTTAGAGTTTAAGTGCACCAGAAATTTAATAATATAAAAAACTAAATAATCATATACTATTATATAACTTTTATAAAACTAAACTGGTGATATTAGATTTCAAGTTTGATATAAAGTGCAATTCATTGAAGAGATCTAAGTTATAGGTTTAATGACAATCTAGGATTGTTTTTATTCAATTAATATTATCACAAAAAACTATATAATTTAGTCTAAAAACTACATATAATAACAATTTAATTTTTGAAGTTTTTCAAGTTTTAACAAATATTATTAAGCTTTTAATAATATGTTGCACTAATTTTAGAAATTAATTACATTTTTACTTAATATACTGGTGTTTAATGATAAAATTATTTTCTAAACAAATATTAAATTTTATGATAAATAAGTTATAATTTAATTAAACTTTTATACCTACACGTATCATCTTATAAAAACCAATTGTGTGTCTTATATCCATTGTGATAAATAATCCGTAAAATAAATTCAATCCTTTTATAATAAGAAATTCATAAATTAACTTAATTGATTTATTTATATACATTGTAAACATATTATAATATAACATTTTTATTTCACTATCACTATTCAAAACATGAGAACACATTTTGTAAACATGTTCATTGAATTTTCTAAATTAAATCTAAATTCAAATAAATAAATCGATTGATTACTAAATAAATTTATTCATTAGTTTCTAAACAACAATGAATGAGATAAAATAATTTAGTAGTTTTGATTGAAACTAAAACCAAATACAAATAATCAATCAATTTATGTTTAATGCAAAATAAATTAGTATTAGATTATTAGAAATTGTAATTGAATAAGTCTTTACTAAAATTCAATATAAATAGATTGTAATTAGATTGTATTTAATATATGAAATAATTTAATAGTAAAGTTTTATACAAGAGAAAATAGTTTATTAAATCAGTTTATTGTTTGATATTATAATAAGATTTTAATATCTGTTGCTAATTCAATGCAACATTTATTATATATTATAACTTATAGGTTTAATGAGATTTTATATGTAATATTGCATAACAATACTATATTTACAGATTTAGTTAGCTTATCCTATTTTAGTAAGTATTTTAGAAATAAGTTATAACTTATAATAAAAACTAATATATAAAAAACTGTGCATAGATTTCCCAATAAGACATTTGTAAAATGAATGATAGTTTTAATAAAAGAAAGCAAATGTATAATGAATTTTATGTTGAATTACATTTTCGTCGAGAAATAACACAAATAAATTGTTGAGATTAAATAGTTTACAATTTATCAATCAGTTATTTTTACAATAATTGTTATCAATCCGTATATTATTTGTTAAATCATTTTTAGGGTTTTGTTTAAACAAGTGTTAAATTTTCTTTGATGTCTTATACATCGCTATAATTTGTTTATATGTCAAACACTTGCAGAATATATAAGATTTTAAATCTGATTGTTATTCAAAACGATTAAGATTTAGAATTTTGGTGAAAGTAAACGCTTTATAAATAAAAATCAAACAATTATAATAGAAAATAAATGTTAAAATTGAGTTTATTTCCTCTATTAACTCTTGAATTGTTAAATTATAAATAAATACATTTAAAATTTACATTCAATGTATTGTACATTACATTGTTTTGTAATACAAATACAGCAATAGGATTGTTAACCCATTAATTTACAAAAATGTCAAATAACAACAAAATGTATTTTATTTTAAATTTTTGTTTTTTATTTTTTGTTCAAACTTTTCCTGACTATCAAATACATTACATTACTTTATATATTCAACGGATTTAATAGTTTTGAATCAAAGTTGTTGTGAAGTTATTTTATTTTGCTTTAATAATTAATTAAATTATTATCTAGATATTAATAGATCTCATTTACATGTAAACCATATTCCGTGAATTCTATCGATTATAGCCCAGTATTTACTCTATTATTAATCAAATAAAACTTTTTATGGATTCAATTAATTAGTCAATTCTTAGACAATATTTGCCAACAAATGTTTTCAACAGAGAAAGAATCCGATTGCAGAACATTACTTACATTTGATATTAATCAATAAACATATCAAATGTTTTCATAATAATAACAAAATTATCATCAAGCAACAACTCTTATTTCTATAAAATGTATTTTTATTGTGTAATATCATACAGTGTACATGTATTTAATATTAATTTATAAATGAATATAAATTATTTTTTGTATAAGTTATTTTGTAATTTTTATAAATTATAATTAAAAGATGACGATTACTAAAATCTTAAAAATGTGGTATAATTTTTTTTATTACATTTCATAAATCATTTGCAAACAAATTGGCATTGAGTTTGATGTTATGACTAAATATTTAACACAATTTTTTGCATACAGTATACTGTATACACGTTTATTTATATTGTATATTTTGAGCATACAGTAGGCAATGAGAATTTTATTTTTATGACTGTTTTGAAATAATAATAAAATTCTTATTTATAAATATTTTATAATCTTTTTTCGTCAGATATTATGTATAAATTTTTAATTAAAAACAAATTTCCTTTTATATTAGAAAATGGAAAATGTCGTCCGATTCTATGATTGTATATAAAGTGTCATTATCTCAAGAATTTGAAGACATGGCCAACGCTTCCAACCATACGCTTCCCATTGGAGATGAAGACAATATTCAATTTTATGGCGAAGAATTGACCC